TATATATATATATATATATGAATTCTTTTGGTGCTCCTCAGGATATTGTATCGATAGATTTTGCTTTGGCTACATTAATACTATATTAGAAAATTAGAAAGCACTTTATGTTGCGGATATAATTGTGTGAGCTGATGACGAGATTATATCTTTTATAAATTTTAATTCTTTTTAAAAATATTTTATTTATTAATAATTTTTCTTCCTCACTTTTAAAAATTTACATATTTTTTTACACGTCTTCTCCGTATTTTTAACTCTATCTATATATGTAAAATCCCTTGTGTAAAAACAATTTTTGACCGTAATATCGAGTAAGGCAAGGAAGCAGTGTTATAGATATAAAAAAAATAGTTGAAGATAATTTTTATTGTTCTGCATTAATAATCAAAGTCAAGCAAAACCTAATTAAAAAAACAAACAAAACAGGATATTATTTGCAAAGTGAATCTCGGTTTTGCTATTTCAAATGAGCTTTTATTATCCTTGTTTAATGACACAAGGGAACATCAATTCATTTATATGATTGACTTAAGACACCTTTCCAATGAGCAAAACAATGAAACAGCAGTCGAGCAAACGAGAATTGTCATGCAACTTGATGTTTCCGAGTGATGTTTTTTTCGCCCTCTACGCCAAATAATCTTATTTGTACTTAACCTAGACACAGTGACCCATGTTTTACATTTTTTTTCCTTATGGAGTTGTCATTAAATCAAATGATAATACTCCATTATTGATTTAAGGATTTCCTTATTATATACGGATTTTTCAAATTATTTTCCTCCATTTTTTCACTCTTTCGGAGCTAGGATTAGAGTACCGGGGGACTGATTTAGTTTTTGTGCCCCTTCGATATTATTATTTAGAGGACGCCTTACCAAAGAAGAACTTTTCGTTGCAAATTCTCTTTTACCTTGGTAACTAATTTAAAATATAAAGTATAGATTTAGTGAGCTCAAACAAACATGGAGTAAGTAATTAAGTTTATAATGCTGAAAATAATTTTTTTTTAAATATCAAAATAAAAATAAATTATGAGAAGATAACTTTGGATTACGCAATGAAGAAGTTCGAATAATTTGCATTTTGGTGATTTTTTAAAAATTTTTTCAGCAATTAAAAATTTATGGCTTACTCTAGGTTTGCCTAAACTCAGTTTTTCTTTCTTTTAAGTTTGTAATGGAGATGAAAGAAAGTTTGCGACGAATTCTACTGTGGTATGACGTTCTATTACGGTCATGCTTTTCTGGATCAATTTAACATTAAGTTAACATTAATATTAAGTTATGGTTATATAAACACTGAATTGTCGGGTAAGCGTTTGAACTCGGAGAAAGATAAAACAAGTAAAACAATTACAAGCATCAATACTTAAAAAAATTATTTGAATAACAGAAAAAGGTACTAGCAAGAAATGTAAAACATACTGCAAAATAGATTTTTTTAGATAAGTATGAAATCGAACGAACATCACTTTATGAAAAATCATCTTCCTACAAGCGATTCCTATGAAAAAGAAGATTTCTATTTCATAAACAAGTACAATTAAATGTTCCATGATATCTAACAAACCAGCGGTGAACTAATTTATACGAATTTTCTTCATGTATTTGCAAGCACATGTCATTTTTGTGCGAACTATGCTTGGTTAATATTTTTTTTATCTTTAATTTTCAAAAGAAAAAAAAAAAAGAAAAAAAAAAGAGGGCAGTTTCTTAAATAGTCATTCAGAGCGTTGTACGAAATGCAAATTTTATAATTAAAACAGTTCGTACGAAAAAAAAAATGACACAAAAATGCAAGGAGAGCATTTTCTTTCCCTCTGACTTATAATAAATCTCATAAATTAACATCTCTTAACAGATGGGACACCGGTGTCCCATTTATATATGTTTTTCTTTTCTGACGCTCTAATTACGAGCAGAAATATATTTTGGTATTTTTTAATTATAAAAAAACAGTCTAATAGTTACTAAAAAAATCTGTTTGTTTATCGGAATTATATTTGTACTAAAAAACAAAATTCAAAAACAGTAATTTGAAAAACAAAAAAAACTTTTTTTTCATGCATATTTGAAAATGCATCAATACATAATTTTATAAATTAAAAAAGTTTCAATGATGAATAACTGTTTTTCTTAGATCTAAATAACTGCAAATTTGAAAAATTATTTCTTGAAACCGAGCTGTGTTTGGAAGATTTTACCTTAAACACAGAAAAAGACACCGGCGTTTCATGCTGTATTTCATAACAATAAATTACTAAAATGTTAA